CTGATTTAAGCTTGAAACATCGTAACTTCATTCAAAGTGGACAGAAACCAATTTAAAACAATCACCAACTCTGGTTTGGTGGAAATAAAATCTTTAATTCGCAGACGTAGATGTTTAAAATAATATAATATAATATAATATATCTTTACGCCGTATTATTGTTCTTAATCTCAAATATAGCCTTTAACGACGAACCCAGTAATCTCGTGTTGTTCCTCTCCTGAAGGTGATGAAGCTGACGTCGTACCGCGGTGATGTCTCCAAGCTCTCGTTGGCCGATTCCTTCGTCTACCTGCTGAGTCAGCTCCCCAGGTGAGAGGCCTAGCTCATCACCTTTGACCTTTGACCTCCATGACAATACTACGTCACCATCTGTTTGACTTTTTATGTTATTTTTGATGATTTATTGGTGAATATTTGTTTGTTTTAACATTTAAGTAAGATATGAACTGAGTTGGACATTTTATAGCCTAAAAAACTACTTTTTCTGCTGTTTCTAAATTAAATTAAACATACTGTGATCTTTAACATCTTCTACCAACAATCTCTTGTTACCTATCAGCCAATCAATATCTGCAATCAGCTATTAGAGGAATATTTATCAGCATATATGGTCTGTTCAGTCTGTATTTGGAGTAATTTTTGCACAATAATTAATAGTAATTATGTAAATTGTATTAAGTTTTCAAACACTACAGTTTACTGCAGAGGCTGATGGAAGTTTTTGATCTTTTATTTTGAAATTTAATCATAAATGTGTGCTAATTCGTTCACTTCCTGTCTTTATTTTTCTAGTTTCATTTATAAAAAGTGATTTTTCTTGCTGTTTTTTACCTGACTAACTTAATCCACCTGTACCTATAAATCACAGCAGGGTTCAGCACGGTGAGATAAAACCATAAAAGGGCTTTTATTTCCGTCCCCTTCCGGTCTCGGGTTATAAAACATGGTGTTATTTATTTATTAATGAATTAATTTCTCTCTCTGCAGTTATTTAGTCCGTATCGAGTCCATGCTGTTAAAAGAGGAGTTTCCCGCGGCGAGTGAGGTCATGAGACGAGACATTAAGATCCTCCGCACAGCCACCAAAGGTAACAACCTCACAGAGATTTATACTTTAATTAAAGACGGACATATTAACCGTTAATTCATTATTAACATGAATATTAGTGGCTATTGGCTCTTATCTAATTATGATTTTTATTTAACAATAATTAAACAATTTTTTTATATCATAATTATTCTTTTTTAATATTGTAATAATTCTTTTTTAATCTTTTAATTATGCCATATTATAAAGTTTTTATTTAATTTTTTTTTGGGGGGGGGCAGAAATAAGCTTCCATACAAATAAACAATATGTTAAATATTATTTTAAATATTATTTTATGATAATATACATAATAATAGAGTAATAATCCCATTTATTTTCTGAGAAGCCTCCACTTTAACAAACACTTCTTCAGATAAATAAGATTTTAATATTATTTTTATCTTTTTAAGGAATAAAAAAAGTAGAATAAAACCCGATTTATACTTTAAAAACATCACATTTTCCTTTATTTGTTTGTTTTATCTTCACGTTTGGTCCAACTAACAGAGGCAGAGTGAGACATCAGCAGTAAAACACTCTCACACTCTCACACAATGCGAAACAACACCTGGACTATTTATAGCAACGTGTGTGTTAATGAACCGTCTGCATGCTAACGCTGTCTCACACACACACACACACACACACACACACACACACACACTCAGGATTATAAACTCCGGGTTATCTCTTCCACTGCGGGTATAAAGAGGATTTCCACTTTCTCCTTCTTTAAGCAGGTGATGTTTTTAGTTTGTTTGTTTGTTTGTTTGTGTTTCCTCTGATGCGAATAAAGACGCCTCCTCTGTCTCCTCCAGAGTTAATGTGCTGTGAGGAGCTTCACGCTGTTCTCCACCTCGTGCTGCAGGCGGGAAACATCCTCAACGCTGTGAGTGAAGCAAGAATAAAACTGCATTAATGAATAATTAGAGAGAAACAGAAACAACCTCCTCTCTGATCCTGATATCTGCTGTTGTTCTTAACAGCTGCTTCTTTACAGCAAATGGAAATATTCTTCATGTCTTTAGACAGTTTTAAAGAAGGAACGCACTGATTCTTGGCTATAATGAACTGTACATTATTAGTAGTTACAGTATTTATTCGTCTTTGTGAGTGAATGCCTGACAAACACACTCCACAAGGGGTTAGGGTTAGGTTGGTCGTGAGGCCTTTTTAACTTTAAAGGGGTGTAAGAAAACTTTAAAATATACACAGTAGGCCGATATCTCAGCATCTGGCTC